GTTGGGGGGGCAAAATCAACTTTTGTGTTAAAACTTGCCTTTCCCCAGTCTTTACTCACTCGTTTTACATATCATTCGACGCGCAATGGTGCGAGGAATCCGATGGTGACAAAGGTTTCCTTCTAGCTATGACATGTAATTTTTACAGAAAAATTCGAAATTTTGAAATTCCATGACAAAAATGACTGGTAGAATTATAACTAGTATATAGTGGCTGCGATTGCCGACGCACTGCAGAGGGCCCCTGTGCAGACGCTCGACTCTAATGATCATTACCCAGAAAAAGGTGAAAAACGCTCCATTTAATCGGATCACCCTGCTAAAACCTCCATTCACGCATGCATGCAGAGGTTTTACTGAAATGCATAGGACTTATCCCAGCCGCCGATCGTAGCTAAGTTGGGCATTCGGCGGAGAGTGAATGTCGGAAGTGTGAATCGGAAGTACCTAATTCATCTTTGCTCTAGTGAGAGGAAGTGTTTTGTTCACTCGGGTGTGAACAAAAGTTTCTCGTTTTTCGTGTGAAGGGAAGCGCTGCAAACGTGCACAAAAACTGTTAAACGGAACCAAAAGTTACGCACGGCATAGCGGCAAGGGATCCATCAGAGATAGGTTTGGGACTTCCAGGCTATTTCAGGCCACTAAGGGTCAGTGCTGACTCTCAGAAGCATGCTTAGGGTCCCGGAGATCGGCGTGGGTCACCTCAAATATTTACGTGTACGTGGTGCTTTAGGGCTTTCCGAGCCCAAGGTGGGGCCCTCAGAAGCCAGTGTGGGCGGCGGGCGCTAAGAGACTAGGCCCAGGGTGAGCCTGGAGCCCTCGGATAACAGTGTGAACCCTCGGGGTCTGTGTCGAATCCCTAAGGACCCTACGTAGGGACATAATAAACATGGTGTTGCGGACCTCAGAGGGACACGTGAGCTGTGACCCCTCAGATGCCGGCTTGGGGTTAGCAAGGTCTGTCGCCTCCAAAGTTTGACTGAACTATCAGAGGCCAGTTAAGGTTCTCAGAAATGTTCGAACTTCGAAGGCTCGAAGATCCCTGTATGGGCCCTCAGAGAACATGGACACCAGTGGAACTTTCAGAGGCCGGTTTGGGCCCTCTGAAAGCTTCTTTAGGGCTCAGTGGAGCTCCTTAGGAGCCTTTGTTTAAAGCAAGCTCATGAGCCCTGCGACACTTGTACGGTACTTGAGCCTGTCGCAGACATTTGACGAGAGTTGAGAAATGCCCCTAAGATTTCGTTTCACGCTTTGAACGAAAATTGTGTCAGCACTCCAAAACTTATGAAAATCAGCTGTAAAATGTAATAAAGAACGAACTAGGAACATGGAATGGATCGCAGCATTGACATTTCCGAGTCTGGACTCGGAGTCTTGAAGATTTTGGCGACTGCGAGTCAGACTCTGGTTTGAACTGCACGCTCCAACCGAGTCTGACCTCACAGGCATTCTCAGAAAGGTACCCCCATTTTTTCCCGACTCCAAAATCTCATCGGATCTGTATCGATCTCAGGGGGTGCCCGGTCCGAGGTTGGGGGGGCAAGCTGCCCCGCTTGCCCCCCCGTGGCGACGCTAATGTTTAGACCACCGTACTGCTGTCGGTCCTGTATCGCATCAATAATGTATCTGGCGCTGTTTAAACGAGTACAGAATCTCCGAAGCTCATTCAAAACATCATCTTTGGATACTTGGATTCATGATATCAATCACTTCCTTATTTATAGACTTGTGTATAAGGATGTTTTTCAAATTTACCGTAGGTATATCCGACAAGTGCTTCTTCGTGTCATTTACAGCATAGGTATGATATACCAGATTGTTATCTTCTTGTTATCTTGAGTGAGCCTTTTTAAGTTATTAATTTAATGTATCTGGACGAGATCAGCAACTAAAAACCTGATCCTATCGGCTGTCATTTGAAATTATTCTCGTCAGTTCGTCCGTTTGTGTAGCGACGCGTGTCTACCGACACACCAGCTTCGTCCGCCGCGCCGGTGAAAAGGCCGCTGCGGCTCCCTTTTTGAAAACTGCTTCATGGAAGGGAGAAGGGACACGCGTCAGCCTCGCAGAGGTCGGATCGGGGTCACCCGATCAGAGAGCAGCTCAGACACCGTCGGCCTTGAAAGTCTGGCCGTCGTCTCGTGTATCCACGGTCTCGCTTTCAGGGCTGGCGGTCGCGTCGGCGACGGTATTATGTCGATGGGAGCAAACAGAGCGCTGGCCTTGGACGTCCGGTGCCGACGAACCCTTTATACTGGAGGTTTAACCCCGTGCTGCCTGGCGCGCGACAGCGGACTGATCTTCCCCCTCGGGATAAAAATCCAGAGATGAGAGAGGATACGGACCGTCTACGCCCTCCGGACAGGGTGGTGAGAGACGATCTCCACTGGAAATTTGTCTCGTGGTTAGGAAAGCTGTGGTGAGGGAGGCTAGGAACTAATTTCGTCTTGTGCCAGGGGTCTAGAGGGATATACTACACCCATCCCGCCTGTCTTCCGATAATGGACATGCGAAAGGGAGCTGTGCAATTATTGCACTATTGCTTGTCGCATATATGAACATACTATACGTGATAAATGAATCTTTTCGCCATGCTTTAGGATCGATGAAGCCGCTACGATATTTCTTTTCATAGCTGTTAGCTCTCATTTTCGCTGTTATAAAAAACCTTTTGATGTCTTCATTTGACCCAGTTAAGTAATCTCCGGAGGACATTTCTTAAAAATGTGACTCGTGTCTTTCGAGTTAACAATGCAGCCACTGATTCAATATCAAGTTACCACCAGATCACTGGAACATTATCACAGATATGCAATCAAATCCAGGCGGGAGAGACAGGAAGCGCACTGATAACGCGCTACGCCGACAGCTTTGGTGTCCCGCCGTCTGTTATCGCAATGTATCTCGAGCAATAATGGTGACGAGGTGTCACCACGAACCTCACGTACTAAATGACCTCGCGAGTCGAATAACCGGCCTCCTCCCATCACCGCGCGCTCACGGCGCTGCCTTCTCGCGTCATCAGACTCACGACGAATCAGCAGATGAGTCCGGCTTACTCACGTCATGTCTCGTTTCCGACATTGACCGTAATCGTAGCTGGCGTCACTGAGCCGTGATAAGGCGGCGGCTTAGAAGAAACAGCGGAGCAGCGCAATACAACAGGGCACGCAGGGGTCGTAAGAACATAACACGAGGGGCATACGCTGACTCAGACGAGGAGGTATACATCAGCTCAGACGGAAGCATATCTACAGTGGCTCTGATCAGGGGAAGCATACAGCGGCTTAGACGCAGCTCAGACGGGAGCACATAGCGGCTCAGGCTCAGCGGCTCAGTGGGGGTCCCACAGCGGCTCAGAAGGGGGTCCCGCAGCGGATAAGAAGGGGGTCCCGCAGCGGCTGAGAAGGGGTCCCCAGCGGCTCAGTGGGGTCCCTCAGCAGGGGCTCAGACAGTGGTCTTCCAGCGGTTCAGTCGGGGCGCCGCATAGCGGTCCAGTCCCGCACTAGAGCGGTGGCGCCACAAGCGCCCCTCAGACCAGCCCCGCAATAACGGTGGCAGTTGCTCACTCACCGCGGGCAGCTGTGACCTACTCCCGTACTGTCCAGCTCATCATCTCACGACTAACATTTTTCCTATTTCGTGGCCATTCTCTGCGGCGAGCGCGGAGAAGGGGAGACCGTCCCGATGCCCCGATGACCTTTGTCGCAGTCGTGATGATGATACGAGCTGTCCTTAACGAAGGCTGTCTAGCGCCGGCGTTTAGGGCTGTCATTATCATGACAGATCCGGTATCGAAACAGATCCACTTAGCGGCGCACGATCCGCGCGGAAAAAGGCGCTTTGAATGACGTACTGATTGAAACATTTGATGATGATATCGATATCTGGTTATTGGAAATAGATTACCGCTGATATGCTTCTCGAGTTTCGGTTGCGCACAGTTGACATGTGACTTAAATTAATGAGTGAAAATCTTGATGCTTGTTTGACACGATATTAACGGCCGCAAAACCGTCTCACTGTCACGTAGAACGCATGCAAAATTAACCGCAGTTTGAAAGATAACCAACATATTATAAACAGGGCAATATTGGCAGCTAGAAATCAAAGCTCTACTTTTACCATGCCTTTTTTGCCCTGTATTTTGTCTTCACATGTTTGTTGGTTTTCTTCAACAATTGGAGCCTCCAACAAAATATGTTGACGATTAATAGGTACCTAATTACATGACGTGCAAAATGTTTTTGAAACATAAAAACAAAATATTAAAAACGCACATGAAATTTCAAGCGCAAGAGGAGCAACGGTCCATCAAATATTCCCTGCTCTTACGTAACCCTTTTATATAATAATATTTCATATCTGATAAGGAGCTGAGAAAGTCTGGACGCAAAGCCATGTGGGCCAAGTGAATGCAGGCCACAAGGACCGGAGTGGGACAGTCTCGTGTAGCAATTAGTGGTAACGTTCCATCAGTCTCTGCATGGCAATGCCGGGCTGACTGGTCCCGGACTGGGTTAGCGACACATCAGATGACGATCATAGGCAGCTGGGGAGGGGAGTCGGCACCGAGGGGAGAGATGGGGAGGGGAGGCAGGTGTCCCGTCGGAGCCACCACCTGCCCCTCGCGTCCAGCCGGCACCGGCCGCCCGAGAGAGAGACGCCCTCTCTCCTCTCTCCTGTCCGTATCTCCCAGCGCCGACAGTCTCCGGCGTATTCCAAAAAACCGCCACCCCTTCCCTGTCGTCTGACCAGCTACCGTTGAACGCTGACCAGACGCTGACCCGCTGACCCCGGTTGCGTCTGGCGCGTGCCCCGCACCGGGCCGGCGGTCGTCACGCCTGGCGTCCCCCCCCCCTACCGGCGGGCCCCTCCCCAGCACAAAAGGCGGCTGGTCCTCTCCCCTGCGCGGAGCGGCAGCTGCTCGTGCCACATGCCGTCGCTATTGGAGGACGGTGCGTTGGACGGTGGCACGCGCCACAGAGTGCCGATACACACACACACGGCGGCGTCAGTCGATCGGGCGGCGGCAGACGCGGCACGTGCCTGGTGACCTCCTGGGGTGCTGAGACGACTGGCGGTCAGTGGACATCCGGCACGGACTCCGTGGGAACTGAGTGACACGAGCGGACAGATCAAATAGACGGGCGTGGAGATTGATACTGCCGAGTGTGTCTCGGTCACGACCAGTGGTGTTGAGAGAAAACTCACTATCTCAGTGTGAACATCGCTAGCGTGGGGAATATCGTGAGAGCGGCACGTAGCTGTGATCCTGGAGTCGCCTACTTCGACAGCTTCTGTGGCACCCGGGTCTTCCTGGGCGGTGTCTGTGGCCTCCGCAGCCCCTGGAGCTGCTACAACTGTCAACATGGCCACCATCTACGCCGTCGTCAGCCCGCACAGCAAGCTGCAAATCAAGACCGAGCTGCTGAGTCCTCACAGCACCACACGCACCCCAACACCTCAGCGGCCTCTCCGACCTGTGAACAAGGCCGGAGAGCCGGGGAAGGCACGTCGCCAGCTGGCTATGAACCTCAACAAGGGCGGCCCGGTCATCAACAACCGACGCAACGCCCGCGAGCGCAACCGGGTCAAGCAGGTCAACCAGGGCTTCGCCGTGCTGCGCGCTCATCTTCCGTCCGTCGAGAAGAGCAAGAAGGTCAGCAAAGTGGACACTCTGCGCGGTGCCATCGACTACATTCAGTCTCTGAGCGAGCTGCTGGCGTCTGCCCCGGAGAGTCCATGTGAGCCTCCACCTCCGTATGGTTACCGAACCGACGTACCGGCGGGGGTGCTTCACCAGCCTCTACCTTACCACCCGGCTCCCCCACCGCCGCCAGAGCATGGCACCTATCTGCCTGAGCCGCCGCCGTACCGCGACTCAGTGCGGGAGCTGCGTCAGCGCCAGCTCCAGCACCAGCTGCCGCAGCACCCGCAGCAGCTGCTGCAGCTGAGTGGCGCCCTCCGACCGGACGAGACTGACCTGCTGGGGTCACTGCGGTGGTGGCCGACACCCAGCCCGCCTCCGGGACAGTGAGGTCGGTAGCGGAGGGCGAGATGTGACTGCTGCCTTCGAAGCCGGCGGGCTGAGGTAGCTCACTCCAGAGAAGCTGTGCCAGCTCACTCCAATGCCGGCCGTGCTAGCTGCCTCCGGAACCGGTGGATTTTGGCTGGTAGCTCACTCAAAGCAGCTCTGACAATGCCTCCCACAATGTGCTTATTGTGACAGCGTCTACTGGCGGGCTATGGCAGCTCTTCCATGGCGTGCGAACTGTAGATTCTCCCTCCACAGTACGTTGGCTGTGGATTCTCGACCAATCAAGGTGCTCTGATGATTGTGGCTCAAAGACGATCTCTTCACTAATGTTGTGGTGTTAGTACGATGGGGTAGGTATACCTGAAGTAGAAGTTTGGTCCGGTTTGTGACGACGCGAGATGGAAACTGTGTCTTTTCATGACTTATTGTCACATCGTCATGTTATACCAATTTTGTAAACACAATCGATGCCTTCCAAGTCAAATGTTGTATGTAGGTATGAAGTGAGCGTTTTACACGCATGTACTGTGTGAATGAATTGTGAACCGTTGCATCCTACGAGGGAATTGAGTCATTCCCAACTCAACGCTTTTGCGACTTTAGTGTACAATGTATTTAATGCTGATCTGTAATGAAGATGTGATTTGTCTGAAATGAAGTTTTTCTGACACTATTACTGCGTTTTTTCTCAAATGTAAGCACAACCTGAGATATCGAGGGAAACACAATACTGACGAGAAGACGAATGAGTTCGTAGATTTTTTATGAGTTATGACTGTCACAAGAAATCAGAGAGGTCAGGAAGCAGGATAGCTATACCATTAGATCGTTGCGGTCTCCAAGCATTGCGAGAAAAGCGAGTCGCTGCGACTGAGTCGGACTCAGTCGACTCAGTTCATAAAATTCATAAAATTCAAAGGTGGCGCCAAAATTGTGGGCTCATCAGAAGCCGAAAAATGAAATTATAATAGGGACCATTTAGCAACTGGTCATGGAGAGGCACCATATGAACGGCATGATATCAACACCTAACTTTCGTAATCGTTGTCTATTCGATAACTGGTTGCCTATTTTTTATTTTTACATGCCATTTCACTAGCAGTGTTTTGTGCGAGTATGATGCCTTGTATCTTTATTTTTTCCTGAGTTAATTTATTTTCGTCGCAGGTAGGCACCATCCTCGAGGGAAAATATTTTGTGCCTGCCACCTACCGAGGAAGTCGAATTCGGCTGCGTCACGTTCTGGCTGCGATTATGAACCGTTTCCTGACCCTCAAGGTCCTGGGCACGGCGCGACCTTCCCCATGATTCGAACCCGGTCCGGTGGCGGCATTTTTCCCGTGGACTGCGCTTTGAGTGGACCTCTCTGACCCTCATCAGGCCCATTGAGCTGCGCGACACCTCACCGAATCATATCACCATCCATTACGGCGGCAGAAGGCCGAGCGACCGACGGCGGTCAGCCCGGCCCGGCCCGGGGCGTCTGCGGGACGCACTCTATCGTCACCGGATCGCCGGAGGACCACCTGGCGGTCGCCGCTGCCGTGTCGCCTCCATTGGCCAACACAAACGGCCCGCGGCCACGGCACGTGCCCGGGACGCGGGCACCGCGCCCCTGGCGGTCAGAGAGAGAACTAAGAGCAAAACGGACCGGGACAAATAGGTGAGGTGCACCCTACTGATAGCTGATCATGTTTGTGTCGGAGAGGGAGTGTTAAAATTCCGCTTTATATCCAACACCAAAGCTTGAAAGGCATGACTGTTTAGCTGGATAATAGTTCAAAAGATGAGGATAAAACTGTCGTATAATGAAAGCTATCGATATGATGTACATACCTAGAAGTAGGAACCTATTATAGTTTTATAAAAAAAAAAGTTGCATGTTTCCTACTTAGTACCTTTCAATATAATGAGACATGTTTGATTTTTTTTTTAATAAGTAGACTTCAGAAAATTGATTGTATGTTTTGTCATTAGTCACAAGAAGTAAATTGTTCCTTATATTTTATCAATTTTAATGTAAAAAGACTACAAATTAAACCTCGTCGGTAGACTTGGATGGTGTGGCTAAGCGCTGTTTAAAAAGCTTTCGAAAAAGATGGGTAGGAAAAAAGATAGAGAAGTTCTGATATGTGACTTCTGCTGGGCAAACGTCTTTCAAAACAGGGGTCCAATGATTTATTGAGGTTCGCCATTATTGGGTTACAATCCGCCCAGAATGAGACCATGAGTGAAAATCTGATGCACCCGGGACTGTGCTGCATTAGACACCGCACGGGTGAGGTGTTTGTACACGTCCCTCAGGAGGTCTACTGTCGCCGGACGGTGAATGGGAGCGTCTCATGTGATCTGACAGAACCAGCATTATTCGCCATTGTCGTGTGTCGCTAATCAGGGGCGCGGGAACTACTTTCCGACTGGGGGGGCACACCATAATAGAGATCAACCTAGGGTACCCCCAAATCTAGTTTTCTCACCGGTTTTAGGCCACTTATTTTTCACCCCTCGGCTTTTTCAACAAAAAAAGAAAACATTTGCAAAAAAAGTGTGGTATTCCGTCTCAAAGCTGTGGGGGCACCGCCCCCACGGCCCCAGAGTTGGGGGGGCAAGCTGCCCCCACTGCCCCCCCGGCTCCCGCGCCTATGTCGCTAATTGCCTGATCTCGTCAGTAGCGTTCTACATCACCGTACCATGCGACTAAAGAGCGGGACAGACGGAACGAAACACACCCACACAAGGCCGGCGCGCTCGAAGGAGGCCGCCACCCGCTGCCCTTTGATGCACCGCCATCAAAGGGCCCCCGGCCCGGTTCGTCCTCAAGGATCACAGGTAAACGCGACACGAGCCGAAGGGCTACCGCCGAGCGCCGCTCAGGGAGATATGTGATAGCGGTGGGTGAGGCTGAAAACTTTTCATTTCTATGGAAGAACTAAACATCCCCGATGATTAAAGGAAGGGTGCCATCTTTTGGACACAACGCAGTTTTTACAAGATTAGCCTCACATGAACCTAAAAACCGGCTTCACTTACCTATGCTCGAGACGGTCAGCATTGAATCCGCACGTGAAGTTATCATTTGCGAGTTTTGCTGCCAGCATTCGGGTAGGCAAAAATCTTCAGCACTATTTCCTCGTCGTGTTAAGGGTATTTTATAAAACATGAAATCAGCAAAGGTATGTATAAAAGTTATACTTTTGAAGCATGTTTTATCATTTTGAAAGGGTATATTTTTTCTTTATGGTATACACTTAAGTTTTAAAATTTTAATTGGGAAGTTTTTCTAGTAAGTTGCATGAAGGGTGAAGGGTTCCATAGATCTCTTAAGCATTGTAAAGGAAAAACCTTTACTCGACTTATTTGATGTTCTTTAACTGTTGGCAAATATGGCCAACAGTTACCTACTTGGTTACCTACAACTTAGTTCAAATCATGTTATCTTCTTCCTTTTTATTTGTTCATCTTTTTGTCTCAGTTGCGCCATCAATGCAAATGGCAGAATGATATGTTGCCATGACAACAGGATATGCCAGCCGTCCTAGCTGCCACATCAAACGACCTTGTGTTGTAGTGGTGATATAAACAACGATCTTTTTTTTTGGCCAATGTATTAAATGCAATGTTTCGGTTTTTTGTATATTGTGGACGCGCTAACCACGTCTAAAAATTCAAATAAGTAAAATAGATTCATAGAACAAAAATTTCGGAAGGTGGCACCCTTCCTTTAAGGCTGGAGAGTCCGGTATTGAGGTCGCCCAGGGAGATTTTGTTTCGCAATCATGGTTTGCTTATTGAAAGCACAATCATAAACGTACGCTCGCTTGAGAGGTACTTAGCACACCTGTTTTTGTGTGCTAATTTGCACACAAAATGGGTCAGAGAAAGGGCTTTTTATTTGTGTTTTTCCGTTTATTTTTTAAAAGGTCACGGAAGATATCAAATATTTACGTGGAAATCCACTTTATTATGCCAGTTCGGTTTATTGAGATCATTCCTGGGCTGTGGCATGAGAGCATATACTCGTAAGACAGACATCTAACTTACTATTCCAACAGAATCCGTCTGTCTGTGAGTCTGTGTGTCCGCACATCGTGTAGTGGGTTCAATTTGTTACGGCTACAGGGCAGACGGTACGGGGTAGGAGGTTGAAATTTGCACACCTTCTAGGTGACAGAGCGGGTCAACGCCTTTTCTAGGTTTCAACTCGCTGGGGTGCACGGTTCGCGCGTGGCGCGCGCTGGAAGAAAGCCAATGAAATTTTGATCGGTTCGTAGATCTTCATTGAGAGCCGGGGTCGACAAACTTTGTGGACTAAATGCATGCCGATCGGCGGCGGGTGCCTCGCATTGGCGGAGGGGCAAGTTTTAATTTGAATAAAAAGTGGCGAGAGAATGTGTTGTTTTTCATTCAATGGGAACAGTTTATTATACAAGTATAAAAATGCACCGAGTTTGCCGCAATGCGCCACAATTATCTCAGGGCGTCATTTTTGCCGCAAATCGCACAGTTTTGTCAAATATGGTCCGATATGGGTGCAATTTGGTGCAAAGATGCATGCTCAATCGCCGGGTGAGAATGCGCCGCGTTTGTCGCAATGCGCCACATATGCCACAAAGCGCCATTTCCGACAAATACGATTAAGCCTAATGGAATGGCACGAATAGGGGCAGGGCTGGGAACACTTTAAGTCTGATATTTTAGTACTGATTGGATCCAATTATTCTGTGACCTGACATGACCCGGCGGTGTTGGTAGGGGTAGGGGTAGTGGTAGGGGTAGGGTAGGGGTAGGGGTAGTGGTAGGAGTAGTAGTAGGGGTAGGGGTAGTGGTAGGGGTAGTAGTAGTGGTAGGGGTAGTGGTAGGGGCAGTAGTAGGGGTAGGAGTATGGGTAGTAGTAGTGGTAGGGGTAGGGGTAGTAGTATTGGTAGGGGTAGGGGTAGTGGTAGTGGTAGATGTAGTGGTAGGGGTAGGGGTAGTAGTAGGGGTAGTAGTAGGGGTAGTGGTAGGAGTAGTGGTAGGGGTAGTGGTAGGGGTAGTGGTAGGGGTAGGGGTAGTGGTAGGGGTAGTGGTGGAGGCAAAAGTAGACCAGTGGCCCGGGCTGATCCCATCGGACGAGAGGTGACCTATGTGACCTGGCCTGACGCAAAGTGACCGGGACTGACCCCTTTGACCCGTATTGACCCCGTATCACCCAAATTGCATCCAACAACGCCCTCAAAACAGTTATTTTTTACATGCTCTTCACATTTCCGTCCATATCTACGCTTCTAGACAACACATCGACATGAATCAAACATCATTCGAAAGCAAATTGACTGGTGCCGCAATTTTTTCCTACCACGCAGCAAAGCAAGTGGCGCAGCCGCTTGTCCAAATACTATTTGGTGAGGAGATGATGGTTTCGGAATATATTTTTTTTATATTTTTGGGTTAGGCCCTTTCGGTCGACAAGACCATTGCAGAGCCGGATGGATGATAGGAATTAGGGGGAGACATTGGTCTGGGCAGGCACCCTAGTGAGTCGCCGGGGCTGAGCCCGTCCAGAGGACAGGCCACCCAGCCCCAAGGCACTCACTGCACCCAGCTACGGGGTGCGCTCCCTCGGGAGCAGCGGTGCCGCTCCAAGGGAGCAGACCGCATGAGATAAAATTGCCTGTCCAGCCCGGAGGGGGGTTG